CATTGGCAAGTCTTTGGGGCAGCTTGCTTCTATCTTGGAAACTCTTTCTTTCTTTTTTACAAACTCTGATGTCTTGAATGAACTGTAGAAACCTATGGAAATGATATTATTTTTCCCCATAGTTGAACACTTTACTGTGTATTTCTGTATACACATTTCTGTTTGGTTGCGGCTCTTCCTTAGTATATTCTTGCCTTACCACAGAAGCACTAGTAAGGAATAATTTCAATTCTTTCCCTGTAAGTAAAATTTAAAAAGAGGGGAAACAATAATTTTGAAGTGTTCATGTATACTCTTTAGTTATCTTTTACCTTTTCCATCAGTATATCTAATAAGAGATTCTTTTAAGTATTTTAAACAAAATAAGATTTCAGACTTATCAATGAAATGGGAAAAGTTTCCTTGTCCCCTCGAAGGGTGTGCAATGGGGTGTGGCTTGCTTCTTCGGTGCCTGGTGGCTCAAACCTCTAGGGTTAACGTGCAGATGGGCAGGCTGTGGGGCTCCAATTCCATGGCAGTGTATAGTGTTGAATGTTTACAGCTAAAGCCCCAGTGGGTGAGTGTTACTGTGTGCTCTTTCAATTTAACCATCTGTAAGTGGCTTGTGTTAGCTCAGTTAGACACCCTTGCCTTATTGAAAGGACAGAGGGCTTTCTGTATCCTGGGCTTTCTTGCCTTGGTGTGCCAGAAGAATCAGATCACATGTGGGCTTGGAGAATGAGTGCAAGGTTTTAATGAATGGAAGTAGCTCTCAGTGAGGTGGATGGAGAGGTCAGAAAGGGGATGCAGTGGGAAGGTGTTGGTTTTCTGCTGGTATGTGCTTCTACTGGTGTGTCCTTCTAAAGGCATGCTCCTCTCAGTGTCTTCTTGATATTCAGCTGCCTGTGTGTTCTTCTGCCGATGTGTTCATCTTGACACCCAGCTGCTTGTGTGCCTGCTAGAGACTAGGGATTTATATATGCACAGGATGGGGGTGTGGCGGGCCAGAGTGGTCTTGGGAAATGCAACATTTGGGCACAAAAACAGAAATGCCTGTTCTCACCTAGGTCCATGGGCACAGGCCTGAGGGTGGCGCCCTCTCCACAGATGGTCCTTCCCTTCCCAGCACTTCCCTGCCTGTCTCCTGTATTATCTCCTCTATAGAGACTATAATCATGTTGAATTTTTATGGCTGAGATGTAGAAGCCAAGGAAAGGACATCCTTTAGATTAGGTTATATTACATTGCCTGTTTAATACTACATAGATCAGGTGATGTTTCAGTTGAATTGACTTTGGGAAATTAAATTTAATGAGTATTAAAGTTTTCTGTTCCATGCGGATGAGCTTAGTTGTCAAGGACAGGAAAACAGCAGCTGCTCATAGATCCCCGTGGGTGATGACTATTTCACTAGATTAGAGGTAAGCCAGACTCCTACCACAGCCAAGAGTCAGAATTCTTTTTAAAACTACTCATTAATGCAGAAGCCAGTTTAGTTTACTGTGCTTCAGTTAGTGTTATAGTTTTAATTTTATAATTTAAATTTTATCTTGTGTTCCATTATGATGACAACCTTATTTCAATCTCAAAGGTAAGGCTAACTCTTTTTTTTTCATTGTGTTTTCCTTCTGCTACCCTCTTCAGTGATAATAACAACATTTAGTGAGCATTTAATTCAGCCTGTATTTGTGTTATACCCTTACATGCATTTTAGCTTCCTAACAACCCTTTGAAGAACAAACTGTTTATCTCTGTTTTACTCAGAAAACTGAGGCTAGGAGAGGGTTAGTAACATGAGAAAGGTAACACAGCTAATAAATAGTATAACAATAGCTAATAAATAGTATAACAATAGCTAATAAATAGCTATTAGCTATCTCTGTTTTCCTGATTCTGAACCTGTATAATCTCTGTTGTGTTTTGGCTTATCAAAATGTCATTTTCTATCATATTTCTGTTCTTTCTGTAAGCTTTTAATTTTGCTTTCTTTTGCTGCATGTGTTTCAGATAAGTTTCTGATACAAAGTTAAAAATCTATCCTGCATTCTCCATTTATGCCCTTTTTATGTTGCTTCACAGCCTTCATTTTAAAGTGGAAGTGACCCTTAAAGCAAAAAAGGCATGCAGAAATTTTGGAAGTCTTTGTGGCCTAACTTTGTTTTTTTTACGGAAAGGCTTAGGAGTACAGTTGTTTCTTCTAAGCTTACTGAAGTTTTTGCAGTGATCTATTACGTTAACCCTGAAACAAACTATTATAATGTTCAAATTCTTTGTCAAGATCCACGTTTAACTGTGTTTTTAAACCTTGAAGCCACAATCTCAGATGGTACTTCTGTGTTCCAAGGTGGTCATGTTTTAATTTTCAAGTGAAGAACATCTCTCTTGACCCTTCATAGAATCAGTGTTAAAGGTCAGAAGACATTTTTGGAACACTGAGATGAAACCCAGAGCTTTTGGGTGTCTTTTAGTCTCCCAGAAGTGACTTTTTTTTTTCTTAAGTTGAATTTCTTATGGTGTTGAGGATTTAGTATTATGTCATCATCCAAGGAAGACTTCAGCTATTCTGGATTTTGTTGTTGATTTTACTGAATATATCCTTACATGACACAATGCTATTCCAGACAGCACACCGAACTCATCTGAGTTGGATGCTGCAACCTTATTATTAATATTCCACATAGGTTGTCATTTGAAGAAATATTGACAAACATAAATGAAAGTAATCTTGAGGTGATATAATTTATTGATCTTTATTTTAATAAACATTAATTGATGACCTTGTAAATTGGTACAGTAGTAACTGAAACAGCATGGCAATTCATATCAAGAGACATAAAGTTATTGTACCCTTTAATCTGGCAATTTTGGGAATAACCGACCTGTTACTCCTTTTAGCATGAACCAGAATGCTGCAGAAAAATCTCAGAGACCAACCAGTACTTTGTTGCTTTTTCTTTGTACTCACTGATTTTAATGGGCATATTTATTTGTAAAGATAATTTATGTTTTCTGAAATAAGGTGCAATTTCCAAAAGACTTAAAACTAAAGGCTTCTGATTCTGGAAATGTTTTATATATTGTATAATTGTGTTTTAAATTTTTTCTACTGATTGATTCTTTATTGCCATAGCCAGTGATGACTAAGAACATAAAAAAGATTTTAAAGAGTAAGTTAAAAAATCACTTTAAGTGAAGCCTAATATTTAGTAGAAATCTTGTCTAAATTCAAGTAAAAAACTCTAAGAAGTGATGAGATACTATTTAACTTCGTCTTTCCATTTTAAAAAGCCATCCAGATAAAATATACATCCCTAATAGCAAAACTGTCCCTGGATAAAATTTTTGGCTGGTCCTCAGAATCTATAGCTAGGTAAGAAGTAATATATGAAACTGTTTGTAATAATTATCTGAAACTAAAGGCATATACTAGTTTTTTAAAGTATTTAGGAATAACAATGCTTTTTCCCCTGGCAATTTAGAGTTGGAAGTATATTGTAGAATGCCCTTGTTCCCCTCTAGGGTGAAACTCCAAGCAATGTCACAGCTGAAAATGCGCTTAGAAGTGCTTGTTACAATCCTCAGTTGACCTCTTTTCAGGTCACTTATGTTTATATTTCTGGTGATGCAACTTTTTCTTCCAATGTACAATGTCAGATTTTTGTAGTAAATGTTTCTTTTTGTGACATTGGCTTTTACTACTCCGGAGTACTGTGTTTCCTCTTAAATACAATTGAGATCTTTTGGAATCCACTTGGTCTGAATGAAATAAAATAGAGAATTCTTTAAGAAGACTCATCATTTGTTGCTAAATTATGAGAAATATAAAATAGGTAAAAGCAAATTTCCTGTATTATTAGAAGTAAAGCTTCAGTGTTTTCAGTTGCTGGTGACTACAGAGTTATATAATTCTAGCAAATAATTTGAATAGATATTTGATTTTGTCCACATTATTTTACAGTGGGAAAGGCAGCTGTGATGGGAAATGTTAAAGTGATGCCGATGTCATTCTTCCATGTTGGCCAGGAGGATCCTTAAGCTTTCATTCTCTTTACTAATTCTTGGTGCCCATGCAAATATTATTTATGTATAACATTTAAAGGGCAGGGATCTGTTCTTTATTCCTAGTCTCATTCAGCACTTTTTTCATGCCCTCCCCCACTTTTTTTTGATATTTTCATTCTCTGTTTGTGGTTGTTATTGTGAAATTTGAATAAGTATTTTCCCTCTGCTACTAGACCATAAGCTCTGTGACAATAAAGGTTGTACATGTTTTTGTTCATCCATGTGTCTTGAGCAGTTACCACAGTCTCTAGAACAAAGAAGGTGCTTGGTCAATATTTGTTGAGGTACTGAGGGTTTTATTTATCTTTGTCTTTACGTGCACATAGCATAGCATTTTGATATGTACTTAGTGTTCAGTAAAGGTTTGCTAAGACAGATTGAAAAAAATGCTTTTCACATATATTATACATGATCTTAAGCATTTCATTTTACTTATTCTTTTTAAACTGATAACTGTTAGAAGCATTCGTGTAGTTTGTTGAGTCCTTCACTATGTACCCAGCACCATGGTAAGCCTAATACTTGACCTAATCTAACTTTAGAATAATTAAGTGAGGCATTTATACACACATTTTACAGAGAAGGTAACTGAGACTCAGAAAGGTTAAATTATCTAAGGTTATAAAGTTAGTAAATGGGGAAGTCAGTATTTAACTTTGCAAAACCCCAGTTTGCATGACTCTAAATCCTATCCCTTCAGCCTCTCTACAATCCAAGTGATGCTCAAACCTGGAAATTCCAGGATAACACACTGAAGATAAGCAACTTGTATGTCAGTTACTGGAAAGTGTTAGGTAAATAAAAATGGGTAGAAATGAAATTTCTGTAAGTCAAAAAATAATAGTAAATGGGAATCAATAATTGCAAGGATTTTAATAATGTGATTATGAAAGTGACCCCAAGAATGCTTTTTTTGGAGGACTTAAGTGTAACTTTTGTTCTGTTTATGCTTCTTGTAGGTTTGAGTGGCCGCTTCTTTGTCACCACTCTCCCAGCATTTTTTCAGTAAGTTTAAATAATCTTCTGGTCTTGCAAAGATTAGAAATCAATAGATGTGTACCAGGAATTCTAAGTTGTCTTCCATGACTGCCGTTCATTCGGCTTAACATGTGAGAGAAACAAGGCTGGTGTGCTCTGAGTGAGAGCTGAGACAAGAGAAGCTTGCCTGGAGTGCTGCAGGGAAGGAAATCCTAATGTTGGGCAGGGGCAGGTGGGTAGGAGGAGTCAGAGATTTCTCTGATGATATCAGAGGTGGGACAGTTCTTAGTATCTAAGTAGGAATGGATTAAATTAACAAGGTAGAGAAGGTCTTTCCAGTTAAAGGAGATAGCATATAAAAGCCCAAGAGAAAAGAGGTACCTTTTGAGAACTTTGAACTGGTTCTGTATGGCTGGACCACAGATATAGCTGGATCATGCTAAGTGATGAGGCTAAAGAGACTCAGTTACAGGCAGGCGAAAGACTGGAAGAAGTGGATTAGAGAGATAACTAGGAGGTGGGATCAATGGGACTTGGTGGCTGATTAGCCATGGGAAGAAAGAGTCTACGATGACTACCACAGGCCATGTGTAGCTAACTAGTAAAAGCTATCGCAAGATAAGGAGCCATTAGAATAAAAGGAGGTTTGGAAGATAGAGACAGAAATACAAAAGATAGGGTGAATTAACTTTCCCAGCTCCAAATGGAGAAGTCTTGGTACAGTTTGATGTCAGGACTCAGATCTCAGAAGAAAGATCTAGACTGTGCCGGGCCTGGTGGCTGATGCCTGTAATTCCACCACTTTGAGAGGCTGAGGTGGGCGGATCACCTGAGGTCAGGAGTTCAAGATAAGCCTGACTGACAAGGTGAAACCCTGCCTCCACGAAAAATATAAAAATTAGCCAGGTGTGGTGGCACGCACCTGTAATCCCAGCTACTCCAACGGCTGAGGCTGAAGAATCACTTGAACTCGGGAGGTGGAGAGTGCAGTGAGCTGGGATCGCACCATTGCACTACAGCCTGGGCAAGAAGAGTGAAACTTCATCTTGGGGGAAAAAAGAGAAAGATCTAGACTGGAGATATATATTGAGAATTCCTCAGCATTGAAGTAAATAACAATCAAAATATATCTAAAGAGAACATGTATGGTGAGAAGGGAAGCAGGTCAGGAACAGAACCTGGGATTGGCCGACTTTAGGACATCTGCAAAGGAAGACGGTGAGTGAAAGATTTGGAGAAAGGATGCTCAGAGCAGCAGGAAGAAGTCCAGAGAGCTCCTGTCATAAAAGCTAAGCAAAAGGAGGAAGGAAGTGGTGTTCAGCTGTGAGTGAACAATGCTAGCGACAGGTGAAGGAGACAGAAAGCGATATGGCACCTAGGGGTCATTGGAGACCCCCAATATGAGCAGTTTCAAGGGAGTCCTGGGAGCAGAACCCCTGTTGCCCCAAGTAGTGAATGAGACATAAAGAGGAGAAAACAGCAAGCCTAGACTCTTCCCTGGGAGCCCTGATTGCGGCAAGTAGGTGAGAGGGAGACCAGGTTGAAGGGGGACATGAGGTTTTTTGTTGGTGTTTGAAGGGAGGACCATGAATGACATACACTTGAAAATGTGGATGCAATGTTTTAAACTTGGTAACAATGGCTATATTACTATTGTAAGAGAAAAATTAAAGTAAAAATATTGGTAGCAAAAATAATAAAAAATAACTTGGCATATTAAACACTGCCAAGGACTCACATTGTATAGTGATAACATAGAATGTTAACACTTTCAGGTTTGGATTTATCACTTGTAATAAAGCCTATTAATGCTTTCTCATTTCTGTCTGTGTATATTTTTCAGTTGAGTCCATTTAAAATTCAAATGGAGTTCAGATGTATGACCAATAGCTGTTTTAATTTTTATTATCTGTAACATCTGTTGCTTTAATGCATTTGCTTTCTACTTGTTTTCATATTTATAGTGCAAAGGATGGGATATTCCGCCGTTATCGTGGCCCAGGAATCTTCGAAGACCTGCAGAATTATATCTTAGAGAAGAAATGGCAATCAGTTGAGCCTCTAACCGGCTGGAAATCCCCGGCTTCTCTAACGTAACTTGTTAATTTTTTAATGACAAGGTGTTATTAATGAAACAGGAGGTTTTAAGTTAATAGCCTGTGGGCCTCGAAAACCCATGTTTTTCTTCACATTTACTTCCCTATTACCCAGATTATCCGTGGCCATGCTTAGCCCATGCAGTATTTCTGGTTTTGTGACCCACATATGTTTCAGCTGCTTTTTAGTACACTGGGAATTAAGTAGCCAGATTTGGGTGGGTTACAGAAAGCCTCTTTTCTACCTTTGGCATTGAGCCATGATGACTGTTTTTCTCTTTACAAAATATGGTTTGAACATCGTTTATCATTCTTCCTTTTAAGTTATTGATGAGACAGAGGAGTAACTCTTTATTAAATTATAGTTTATGGAGGAATTGCTATTATTTATTATGTGGAAAACAAAACCTGTGGGGTCTTTGGCTGCCTAGCAGAATACCACTGGGGGTAGCTTTTGGCCTTGATGGCAAACTGTATACTTGGTGAGGTAGATTAGGCCAAACCATAACAATTTTTTCCACAGTTGGTTTTAATTTTGAATGGATTGTCATATATATAGATAATTTAATATTAGTATATACAAATGTAAAAAATTTCCCTACTGAAAAGGGAGCAAATTGTGTAATATTTCAGGAATAAATCAGCTTGTGGCATCTATATTAATATTAAGGAAACACATAGCTTGCTCTAAAAACAACTCCCCTCTGGCATTTCATTCTACAACCATTTGAACACTGATTTAGCCAGATACCTTTCTAGGTATTTGACACTGAACAAGACAGACATTCGCCTCAGGTACAGAGAATCATAGTCTGGGTAAGGGTGGATAAAAAACACAACATACTTTACAAAGACAGGGGATAGCTGTGGGGTTATAGACCTACTCTTCTAGGTGGAGGGAGTAGGAGACATTTCCCTGAAGGGAGGTCTCTAGGTGAGATCTGAAGGCTAGAAGGAACTAGCCTAGGTAAAGAGCAGAGGGAAGAGTATTCCCAGGAATGGGTGTGGCATAGGCATAAGCCCCTGTTTGGAAAAGAGCTTGGTATACTTACGGAGCAGAATGGTGACCAGGGTCAAGCATAGTGAAAGGGAGCGTAGGATGAGCTGAGTAAGAGAAACAGGCTGAAGCCCTATCACACAGGGCCCGTGGCCACAGGAAAGAAGTTGGAAGTTATCAGTACATGCAAGGAGAAGGTGACTCTTAGGAGAGGAGATTGGTGTGGGCAAGAAGGGATGAAGCGAGTCCAGCCTTGGAGTGGTAGCTTGTGTCAGGTGGTGGCAGTGGGGATATGGGAATGGAGAGACTGAGTGTATTTAACATATGCTTTGAAGGCAGGCTTGGCCAAGGTGAAGGAGAAGGATTCATAAGTAAAAGCTTACAAGTTTCTGGTTTGAGTACATGATGGATCTTGATACTAGTTAATGCTTTGGGCAAGAGAAAATTAAGAATTCTGTATAAAACTTGAGTTTGAGATGCAGACTTCAAAGAACTGTCACACTGGCTGCTGTATTCGTCCATTCTTGCATTGCTATAAAGGAATACCTGAGACTGGGTAATTCATAAAGAAAAGATGTTTAATTGGCTCATGGTTCTGCAGGCTGTACAGGAAGGATGATGCTGGCATCTGCTTGGCTTCTGGGGAGGCTTCAGGAAACTTACAATCGTGGTGGAAGGCGAAAGGGAAGCACATACATCACATGGCCAGAGTAGGAGCAAGAGAGAAGGGTGGGGGGTACCACACACTGTTAAACAACCGAATCTCATGAGAGCTCACTCACTATCAAGAGAACAGCACCAAGAGGGTGGTGCTAAACTGTTCGTGAGAAACCTCCCCCATGAGCCAGTCTCTTTCCACCAGACCCCACCTCCAACTCTAGGGGTTACAATTGAACATGAGATTTGGGTGGGGATACAGATTCAAACCATATCAGGTGCATGGAGATGGGTCCCTAGAAGAATTCAGGAAAACAAAGACAAAACCTGCCCGCAGTTTTGAAGTGAGGGGAACACCTAGAAAGAAGGAAAAAGAGAAGAGTACTTGGAGGTGAGTCGTGGGCCACCCCCAAATTAAGAACCTGTGTTGAGAAGTCAGCAAAAGGAAACTGGAAATGAGTACCAGAGAGACATCATGTAAACCAGGCTCTGCCATTTTCCAGAAACCAAATGAAAGTGTTCAAGAAGAAGGGCGTAGCCTCTTGTGGCCCATGTTACTAAGAGGAGGAGGGAGGTCAAGTCGGAGACATGGACAGTGAATGAAGCATGGTGAGGTCATCATGGCTTTGACAATCAGTGTTCCTGTAGTGGTGACGGTGGAAGCCAGATTTGAATGGATTAAAGATACAGTAAAGAAGAAGACACAGCATGTGTAGAGTACCCTGGAGAAATTTATCTACAAAGCTGGAGGGCCCTATGAGGTTCAGGGATACCAGAACTTAAAGTATATATGTTAAAAAAAAAGTTAGAAGAGAGTAGAGCATGTTTATATGCCAATGAGACTATTCTAGGAGAGAGAGAGAAGTTGCTCGTGCAGGAGGGAAAAATGAGAGAAAGCCAAGTCGTAATAAGACAGAAGGGATAGGATCTGACTGTGATAGGACGGTTAGACTTTCCCTGTCATAACAAGAGAAGGTGGCTGCAGCTGGACACCAGGCTCAGATCTGGTAATGGGAAAGTAGGAGAGATCACATTGGCTTCTGATTTCACAGTGACATAGGAGGAGAGCTTGGAGGAGTGCTTGTTAGCCGAGAGTACATGGGGATGGGAAAATGTGTACGTTTTGAAGAAAAGGAAAAGGAAATGAGCTATTATCTTAGTGAGAGCCTAGAAAATTCTGGACAGTATTAGTGTCCACTTAGGTTTGGGACTATGAGAAGAAAGAACCGTCAGCTGGTTATGTGATGTTTTTTCCCCAGAGACATTCAGCTGCTCAGGGTTGAGATTTTTGCAGGTAGTACAGAAAGGAGAAAGGGCTAAGGAACTGGAATAGATTTGCAGCAGAGTGATTCAAATGATAGCCACTGAATCTAAGCTCTATAAGACCAGTTACGGATCTGGGAGAGGGGAAAATATGTAGCAAGAAGTGGAGGGGAAAGGACCAGTCCTCTTGACCTGATTTTCATTTTGTTTGTTTGTTTGTTTGTTTTCTTAATAGTATATGTGATCAATGTTTCTTCTCTTTATTTTTTTAAGGATGTCTGGAATGGCTGGTCTTTTTAGCATCTCTGGCAAAATATGGGTAAGTCATCTTAAATAAAACATTTATATTTGCAGAGATGTTGTTAAGAATAAAAATATAGCTTTTAAGCAATAGGAAAATAAATATTTATAAGTAAATTTATAATTTCACTTTTTTTCTTAAGCCATGCAGCTACTCTCATGTGGGCTTCCCAGTGGTAATGTCTTTATGTAGAAGGGCATAATCTGAACAGGAACCTGTAACTACTGTGTCAAAGTCTTATTTTCTTAGATCAGTGATGGAGTGTTTGATCCAAGCAAAAGGGCTTATGTGATTTTATTTTGTCTTAAATTCGCATTGGCATATCTCCCTACATAGGAAAGATTATCTAAGCCTGAAAGTAGTTATGTATGCCAGGAGTTAGCAAACTCTAGCCTCTGGATAGGCTGCCTGTTTTGTAAATAAAGTTTTACTGGAACACAGATACATTTATTCCTTACCTATTGTCTGTGACTGCTTTTATGCTACAATGGTAGAGTAAATAGTTGTGACAGAGACACACAGAGTTGTGGCTCACAAGCCCGAAATATTTACAGTCTGGCCTTTAAGTAGTAGACCCCTACTATATGCGATTGTATAATTTCTCTGAGTCATTTCAGCGGGTTAGAACTGTGTTTCAGGTTGAATTGTTGAACTATTATACAATCTTGAATATGCCCATTACCTCTTATTCTCCTTCTCTGTAGGGGAGGACTAAGTCCAACCAGATTTAACAGAACTGCTGTAGAATTAAATATAGCTCAAAATATTTCAAAAAATCTCAGAAGTGAGTCTCTCTATGTATGTCTTTTCTATGCTATGATTGTAGGTTATGGTGCCGTGTTTGAAAGGTAATATTCAAAGAGTTTGTGAAGACTCTTTTTCTGTGTCTCATACACATTCATATATGTTGAAAGACATTTGAGAAAAACCTTTTGTTTTCCACTTTCTCAGTTATATTTATATTCTGCCTTGTGAGGTAGAATACCTATGGGGTTTTTTTGGTTGTTTATTTTTTTTACAACAGAGGCTAATTAAAGACTTGGTTTCAGTCTTTCAGGTTAAAATTTAACTTTTTTGACATTTGTTTATCACAATAAACAGTAACTAATATTTCCTGCTCTCCAGATAGTTTTAGTTTCATGTGGTTTCCTTTTGCTGCTTTCTTAACATTGGTGAGAACTTAAATCGAGGGCTGAGAATTATGAATTGCACACTGGGAATTGAAAAGATTCTGCCTTTTGCAGTATGTCGATATTAAAGATTGACAAAATCATGTAGCCTGCTAGCTGTCTGAGCCGTGTAGCATTATACTATCTAATTCAACAGAAGAATTGTAATGGATGGTTGTTAGGCAGCACTGACTGAAATTTTAGCACCAAATCTATGATAAGTGCAGAACAATAGAATGTGTTCTGCACATTAAGAAGAGCTTAGATGGAAGCTGATTATGGCCTTCATTGATTGTAAAAGAGAAGTTTTACTTTTAAAGACAGTAGCAGGGAAGATACATACTCTGACCTCATATAGCTTGTCATTTGTAGCCTAGATAAACAAGAGTTTAAATAAGGAGTTACAGTTTTTCTTTTTTTCTTTTTTTTTTTGAGATGGAGTCTCGCTCTTGTTACCCAGGCTGGAGTGCAATGGCGCGATCTCGGCTCACCGCAACCTCCGCCTCCTGGGTTCAGGCAATTCTCCTGCCTCAGCCTCCTGAGTAGCTGGGATTACAGGCACGCGCCACCATGCCCAGCTAATTTTTTGTAATTTTAGTAGAGACGGGGTTTCACCATGTTGACCAGGATGGTCTCGATCTCTTGACCTCGTGATCCACCCGCCTCGGCCTCCCAAAGTGCTGGGATTACAGGCTTGAGCCACTGTGCCCGGCCAGAATTTTTCATTATGTCATGCAGATGATTACAATGTGTAACACTTAGAGTGTGTCAAGGCCAGGAGTGGATGTTTTATCTTTGTACACACAGTGCCCAACTATGGGAAACACAGATGTACTCTGTGGATGCATTAAACTGGAGAGAAAGAGCCATTTGGAGAATAGAATTTGATCCATGTCTGAATAACTAATGAATATGTTCTTAACGGTTGAGAAGTAGAATATATATGTTGTATAAATGTATATTTATAATTTCTTTCCAGATATATTTCTGAAAGGAACCAAAAATGAAAATTTTACAAAATAAATTAAAATTTGGCACACAAATAATTACATTTTATAGTTGTAAAATGTAGAATGTAAAATGTACAATTATACAATTTTATAATTCTAAAATAGTTTTATCTAGTATTAATACCATGTTTTATCTTTTTTATAAGCATTTGCATGGAATAATTTTTTCATTTTCAACCTTTTTATTATGTTTTAAGTAAATCTTATAAAAAGTAGATAACAATAAATAATTATTCTAACTGATGAATTTAATCCATTTTTATTTATTGGGATCACGAAAACATTTATCCCGATGTGAGAGAGAGAGAGAGGAGAGAGAGTGTGTGTCAGTGTGTGTGTGTGTGTGTGTGTGTGTGTGTGTAGGGGAATGGAAGAGATTTGTACATAAAAGAGCGCAAATGGTACGGTATTAGATTATTTTGATCTCCCTGTGTGTGTGTATACATTGCCTTAATAATTTGTGAAATCTGATAGTACCCTCCATATCAACATGTAGCCTCCCCAAGCCTCTTGCCAACTTTGGTAATAGAAGTAAGTCCCCATCCTTTTATCAAACCTCTAGGTAGGCCTCTTGCCACTTGTATTTCTAGAATTTGGCTCTTATCCTCTTATTTACAAGGCATATAATCTCTGACCTAAAGAGACCCAGTCCTTTAGGCTATGCATCAGGTCTCTGGTTCCCACTTCCACCTCCACTTATGGTCTTGCCTTGCTGTCCTTAGAGAGCCACTTAGTCAGTCCTCCCAGTTGACTGCCCTGCCTGCTCAGTTAGCTCATTCAGCTGACTCTTTCTTTAGCTGGAGTTCCTCAAATCAATGTTGAATGTATAATTGTGGCAAACTTAATTGTCTTTTAACTCACGTCTAGATCATATGAAACTGCACTGCAAATATGTTAATAATGAACAGAAGAAACACTGTACATAGTGAGACAGAGATGGGGTTGGAAAGTGGAACCAAAAAAGTATAAAGTCTCAGAGAAAGATTAAAAAGATGGAAGAAGGAAAGATGTAGAATGGCTAATGCCAGTGAGACAAGATTGTTTATGCCTATCCATAGTCTTTTTATCCTATTGAAATATCTGGATACATGTACAGATAGAAATCAGTCTTTCCTCAGCAACAGTCTTCCCTGGATAGGCAGCTGATTAGATTTAAGTATTTATATAGGGAAGATAAAACAGTATATTGTGATGTTTATTGGAGTTTTTGTATGTATATAGGAAAATGCCTAGAGAGAAATCAACAGTTTTCTTGATATTGGAATTAAGAACAATTTTTAAAAACCTTTTTTCTATAACTTCTATTTTTTCTGTAATGAGAAAATAAAAACAATGTATTTAGAAGATCAGAGCCTATTGAACTAGTGATTAGAAAATATCTAGAAGATCAGAGATCTATGTAGAAAATCAGAGCCTACTGAACTCTATTGATTTCTTAGGAGGCTTGAGTTTCTTTCTGCCTTTGAAGTAAAGCCAGCTTGCTCAGTCTGACATTCTGGAGATAAAAGCTGTTCCTCAAGACTCTGGGATCCCCTGGTGATGAGACACTTACTTACATGGCCGAATTCCTATCAACTCGGGAGGTGTTTTGGTTTGCATTTGACCTTCTTAATTTTATACCAAACTCCCCTGTGTTCTTGCTTGAGTAAACCCTGGAGGTGAGAAAATCCCTTGAATAGTATTATGAGGCAATTCCTGTGAGCTTCCTGCTGTTACCCTGAATCTCAGGGATCCTCCATATGTCATTTGTACCACAATGTGGACCCAAGGAGATGATCTCCAGTGTTATTTCCATCGCTAAATTTAAATTGTCTTTTTAATTCAGTCATGATAGCATTCACCTGCCTATTTTAATTTTTATATAAACTCACAAGTAATTACCACATTAGCTATAATATCTATCCTCGTGGATAGTCTCGACATTTTACCCATCTCGCATACAGATGGAGTCACTGAGGCCTGGGAGATGGGACAGTTAGAGGAGTTTCTCAGAAAGTTGACGTCTTCAAAGGACAAAATTGATTTTGATTTTGTATTATAGTAGCAATATAAAATTTCTTTAAATTTGTATACAACTTAAAGTGAGTAAGTAAAAAATGTTAATACTCTAATGGATGGTACAAAGCGAGGTGGATATCATGAAAGCAATGTGCAGAAGATTGAACTTCAGGAAGCATCACTGACAAATCAAATAGGATTAGAAGTCCTTTGGTTTTGTGTCCGTGGCACATGTGTGGAGAGAGACCGTCCAGTCTTGTCTTCCCTCCTTTCACAGTTGGCTACAGTGCTACAGAGAGGCACTATCCTTCTCTTCCAGAAACACATCATTGTTTCCCACCTTGTGTGTAGGTCCCTGAATCTTTTTTTTTTTTTTTTCCTGCCATGGACTTGTTCCTAGAACCCTTTGAGTGCTTAGTGCAGAATCTGGTACCTAGTTATGTGCTTGATTATTGCTTTTTGTTAGTTATACTTATTAATCATCATTGTCTTTATTATTTTACTTTTCCCTTCTCTTTATAGGCAACATGGAATACTTTTGTTAAATTTTTAGCCAATGCTGATAGCAGGCTTAAGATAGGGTTCTGCTGTAGTCACTCAGCATATAGGTTGAGCATCCCCAAATCCAAAAATTCAAAATCCAAGACGCTCCAGAATCTGAAACTGAGCACCAACATGACAATTAAAGGAAATGCTCACTGAAGCATCTTGAATTTCAGGTTTTTGGATTTGTGATGCTCAACTGGTAAGTGTAATGTAAAAATCTGATAAAACCAGAAATCTGAAGCATGTCCAGTCCCAAGCATTTGGGATAAGGGATTCTCAACCTGTATATACTTTTGCTAACTAGGTTTAGCATTTAACTGTATTTAAAGCATTATTTTATTGGATTTGGTGAATCTCTGCTCTTCACGGAGGTAATACAGGATGTAACTTCCCTCTCCTAAATGTTACTGTTGTTTTGAGAGGATGTAGGCATATGGCGAATTTTAGCTAAAATAAGATGTGCTACATCCTTGGGAGGACAATCTGTGCATTGGATGCTACCTTCCCTTTTTATTATAACAACATGACAGAGGACTTAAGGCTTTATTTAAAGTATCTGATTATCAGAATTAAAAGCCATGAACATTTAGACTAGAGAATAATAAAGTATATTTTACTTGAAAACATTCTTCTGTGATTTACATAGCATGCCTCTTCTCAATGTTTTTTTTTTTTCTCATATAAAAATGTTTAGAATGTTTTGTAGAATGTTACAGTGAGCTAGTGGTGCACATCTATAAGGTACCTCCCAAAGATCCTACGAGAGCCTTCAGGCTATGTTTTGTTACAAGTGCTGTGAGCTAAAGCATGAAAGAAGTGAACCCTTGGCCATCATTGAAGAGTCTTTCCTAGCTGCCTTCTTCCAGGGAAGATATTTTGGGGATTCTGATCTGTGTCTGAAAGAGATAAAGGACTTGTTCCAGAGCTCCTCAGAATATATCCGATGACACAGGTGAACTCTAAATCCAAAGGCTGTCTGTCCTTCAGGGCCACTCCAGGTTTGAATGAGACTCTGTAACACTGGGCTGGATGACTGAGCAGGATTTAATTCAACCTGCAGTAGTTTAGGCTTTCAGAGGGAGTGCTTTGCCTTTCTGAGGAGGGAAGGCTCTACCTCAGATGCATGGAGGCCTTGGCCTACCTGTCTTCCCTAAGTCTATCTGACCACTGATTAGAATGCTCTTCTCATTTATTCTGTTGTAATGATGTTTTGTTTTGTCTTCTCACTCAAATACATATGTAGCCAAAAGTTAGCTCTAACTTAATCATGCACTGTGACAATATAAGGTATCACGCCCATCAGAATTTTAGTGCATTTTCAGTGAACAGAATAAGATACTTTCTTATTCATCTAGTACAATAATATAAGGTATCATGCCCATCAGGTAACATTTTTGTGCATTTTCAGTGAAGAGCATGGGATATTTCCTTGAGGTAAGCACATATAATATTGAACAAGGATCAGTATTTTCCATTAAGTGAAAACTGTCACTTTAGTAATTAAAAAAACAGAAACACAATAATCTAAAACTGAATTGGATTTGATTTAATAAGCTATTCCTTTGGAAATATATATAAAGCAAAACTTCAAGGACATGGTACCTAACACTTATGAGGGGTTTTAAAGCCATTGTAGACTCAGACAAAGGAAACAGATAAAGATTTATGTCTGTAGATGTGAAGGTACAACGTGATTAATGAATCTTTAGTAATAATGACCCAAAAGACCAGAAGATGGCAGAGTTTCTCCAAGAAACTCAAATCCCTTTACAGAGGAAGTTGATACAAGCAAATTAAAGTGCAGCTTATTAAAATAAGCGGATTTCTTGAAAGTACTAAGTGTTTGAGTCAGAATGCAATGCCTCAAAAGCAAATGGTTTAATGAAATTAAAAAATAATTTAGAAAGTTTCTTGAGAGTTGCATTTATCATTTATTTTGCAGACAGGGCATAAGATACAGCACACAAGGACTTAAAAATTGCACATTATTTGTCCTGACCATACAAGTAAGATAAATCAGCAGCTACTTATAAAGCATGTTCTAAAATACATTCATGGGTTGGCACAAAGGCAGATTGACTTTTACCATTTTCTAATGCATTGGTATATTTCAGAGTTTAATCCTGATGATGGTACTGAGTCCCTGAGAAAAGCATAAGTTGAATACATAATATTTTCTAAAGTAGGAAACTGTACAATAAATTTTAAAACCTCCATTGAAAAGAGTTTGAATGAAACGATGTTTTGATATCTCAAATACACCCTTTGCTTGCTGAGTTGTAAAATACTAAGTTACTCTTAATAAACGATTGTCCTGGCTAAACACACACTGATGGCCAGTGACATCAACAGAGGACAGATGCCAGCTTTACAAATTGAGAGTGTGTTTGCATTCCTATGAATAGTTCAGGTATTCGATGCATCTTTTCCTTATTCAACAAATACTGATTGAACACTTTGATTCCACGTGTCAGTGTTTAAAATACTTGATGAGTCTTTAGCTCTATCTCTTTTGCTGAATAAGAAATTGTAGAGAGATATTTCAGGTTATGCTAGGTAACAAGCATTTTTCTTTATTTATCATTCCAAATTAAGCCAGAATAAAATATGTTATTTAATTACATTAACGTAAACTAAGAAACCAATGGGAGTGATTTCAAATTTGAGAAATATGAAATTAAAATAGAAACTTGGACTCATTTTCATCAACCTTACTGGTTCTAGGCAAGTCATTGTCATTACCTCTGCTTGCTGATGATATTTGGAGCCATTTCATCCTGTGCCCAGTAATTGCTTGAATTTTAGTTAATGGCCATTTTTGAAGCTGTCAGGATCTTAAACAAATGACCAAATCATTGTGAGGAAGCATGGCTTCCACAAGTCTACATCTAAGTAGGCTTTGACTTTAAAATAGCAAGTTCATATCTGTTAATCTCTGTATGATTTAGCATGTAAGTAATTTCTAGCTATGATTATGTCCCTTCACTCCTTTTTAAAGTATTTGTCATCAAATAATCTTAGGGAACAGTGAGCATGAAGGAATGTACACTATTCAAAGGTTGCTGAAATCTAATTTGCTCATAATAAATTAACCAGAAAAAAACTGTTTCTTCTGTCTACTGTTACATTATATGTTTTCTGGTAAATTACTAAACTTTGAAAGGATGCATAGATATAGAGCAATGAGAGTCTGATTAGAAAAAAGAGGTATGGAAACATTTTAAATGGTTGATATTCTGTAAGTAGAATTTAGTTTTACTGAAAAGTCAATAAAGGCTGAAAAAGTTTAATTTTTTTATGAATGCCCTATTATAAGTAAACATTGAGATGTATATAATTATTAGGGGAGGAGGGCCAAAAGCATCCATCATGATGGAAGAAAGGACTGTCAAAATGATCCTACCAGAATTCTATCCAGATTATGAACTCTAAGCAAGTATAACTTTTTTAGTAATGATCTTTTTACTCTCAGTTTTCCAATATTATAAAATTGATGTGTTCTCTAAGAATCATTTAGATAGGTAAACCTTTGTGGGAATCTATGGATGTAGAAACACCAGCTAGAGAAGGAGATTCAAATATTTTTGGTTCTCTTAAAAATAAATGCTTTTTTCCTTCTAATTACAGCATCTTCACAACTATTTCACAGTGACCCTTGGAATTCCTGCTTGGTGTTCTTACATCTTTTTCGTCGTAGCCACCTTGGTTTTTGGCCTTTTCATGGGTCTGGTAAGAGATAATAACAAACTTTTTTCTGTCTTTAAGGTAAAATGGATTTCATGTACAACTAAAAGGCAGCCAAGAAAGAAAAAGCACATAAAATATAGTGTTTTATGTAATCTAAGTAGTTAAATAGCATTTGCTTGTTTGAGACTGCTTTCAATGGTAATGTGAGATATAATTGAAAATTTATTAAATTCTTATCCCCAATCCTATTCCTTAAATATTTTGGAGTCACTGCCTAGAGTATAGACAGTGATACAAATAAAAGAGAGACCCTATTTGAATTGATAGTTTCTAAGACAACAAAGTCAGCTGTGGTTTCACATATGGCCCACTTAATTAGAACACTGGAGTGATAAGGCCAGTGTTTTGAATTTGTTCCTTGGGTAGATGTAACATTTTTGTTTTTTTTTTATCCTCCAATTGAGCTAATCCTGACCAGCTGCTTATTCATGCATACACTCTGGTTTTCCTGAGATAGAGTTTGTAAGATAATGTAGTTTAAACAACACAGTTATTTTTTGGGCATGAAAATCAGTGCCCAGTATATATCTGTGCATTTTCTCCCCAGTGTTTCAGGCAAGAGTTGAATAATAAATTTATTTATCTAACTGTATAGCCAACTATAAATGTTTAGCATGTTGTATTCTTTGTTATTTTTTCTTTCTCTTAACTACCCTAATCTTGATTAGTTTGATTTCATTTTAAACCCTAATTAAGCCAAAAAGTTTTTAAAACCTTTATAATGTATACTAATCACATAGTTCCTATACACTATAATGGGAATAATTGATGATTACTGAAAATTTATGTAAGAGAACAGACTCTAAGGTAAGATTATCTTAAAGTCTATCCTAATATTTTATAATGAATTTTGTTTGTTTAGCAAGTTCCTTTTTAAAATAAGCTTAAAATGTTAACAATTGACTTATTGTAAGTCATAACCACCCCCAAGGAGCCAATGAGGCTCGATTTGACTTTTCCATGAACATACCTAATTCAAATCATGGCTTATCTTTAAGACTCGGCTCCTGATGTTAACTTCAGGGGTGGGAATGAGACTTACTTAGATACCTGTATGTGTCCTTCAATAGGTCCTGGGTATGTTCTGTTCTGTTGCATTAATCTTTTTGCTAATTAACATGTCCCCATTGCCCGGGTCTAAAGAGAATCGACACTGGTTATAAATAGAATGTCATTGTGCTTCTCCCATCTGTTGTCTAGTTGCTAGATTTTTCTAGCAGTGTATTTTGGGGCTACATAGGGTGAGGTTCTTGTAGGGGGAACAGAATGAGGTCCCAGGAGAATCAATTATGGAGTTATACGGAATGTAGGTTGTATGTGAACCTGTTGGAAATCTAGTGAAAATGCTTAATGCTTAGAGGTTTAGAATATTATTTTGATGTTGACTTTAAGTTCATGAAATTGAGTCGGGCCTGCCTGCCTATGCCTTAGATTCTTTTGGGAGCCTAGATTCAAATAATTAGTGCAGAAGGGTTATTGGAGCCTTGGCCTGAAGAAAGGAGAGAGTTGATTCTAGCCTGTTCAACTGATTAAGTGAGATAGACTGTCCTTTCTTAATAAGAAGTTGGGAAAATGACTTCATTTAATAAAATAATTTCAAAGCATAAGAATCCTAAATTTAAAAAGATTCATACATTTATTGTTAATAAGTTTCCAAAAAATAAACACATATCTGTGTTCAAAGTGCCTATTTTAGGTTGTTCATAGTGGGTCAGGCCTGTAATCCTGGCACTCTGGGAGGCTGAGGCAGATGGATCATTTAAGCCTAGGAGTTTGAGACCAGCCTGGGTAACATAGTAAAACACTGTCTCTAGAAAAAAATACAGAAATTAACCTGGCATAGTGGCACACACCTGTAGTCCCAGCTACTCAGGAGGCTGAGGATCACTCGAGCCCAGGAGTTCAAGGCTGCGGTGAGCTGTGATATTGCCACTGTACTCCAGCCTGGGTGACAGAGGTAGACCCTATCTCCCAAAAAAATAAATTAATAAAAATAAAAACAATACATACATACACACACAAACAAACAGAACGCCTTTTCTGTAACTGTAAAGTGTAAACACACAACAGCTAGAATGTTTGCCTTTAGTAACCTTTAATTTCTTACGTACTTTTCAGCTTCTTTTTGTGAGAGTTATATAATTTGAAACATCTGCATTCTTATCCCATTTTAAATCATCTATTCCAGAGTGACATTTTTGTTAACTTCTAGGATGATAGAGAATCGTTTCTCAGTTGTTGACATATCTTGGCCACATGGAGAATATTTATGTAGATGCCAGTGTAAAGGGATGGTACTGAGGGACAAAGCTGCCTGAGGCTGACTCTGAATGGCCCAGACTCCTTAAGGGATGACATTCCTGTTGGGAAGCTAGGATCTAAAGTTTTTTTTTTTTTTTTGGTAACTTCACCAACTCAGTCAAAATTAAGTGAGTAAGTTAGATAGACAAAACCTGAGATAAAATTGTTGGGTATACCATTTTCCAGAATAGAAGAATAGGATAAATTAAGGTGAGGGATATGGTAATTACCCTGATTTGATCATTATGCTATGTATACATGCATTCAAACATCACATTGTACCCCGTCAGTATATATAGTTACTTTGTGTCAATTATAAATAAAAAAAGAAAAGTCAGAAAAAAAATTATGTCCTGGAATAGCCAGTAAACATATAACTCTCACTTTAATATGTAAGGTTTTCAAACCTGAATCGGTTCAGATGGAATGCTTTTTCTCTTTGTTGTTCAAATTGATTTAATGCCTTAGAGTTTATTGTTCTCCAACCCACCAAGCCTTCCTGTATCTCATTGCCCCACCTCCTGGGTCTCCTCAGTTTATTGTTCAGGGCTTTCTCTGGATCTGAAATGTTCTTCCACTCATTCAGGGGTTACCCACTGGTGAAGGGCAGCGTATATATAGAGTGGTTTGGTTGTCCAGAATATGTATTTAAAAAGACTTGGTTCATAGTGTCTATCTTCTTATACCTGCTTGATTCATCTATTTATAGTGGGTTCTCTGTAGACTTTTGACTTTGTGACCACTGTTCTAAATTAGTATTTTCCTGTATTATGTCACATTTGAAAACTAGGAAATTCTTAATTATATCCTTGTCTCTTGTGAAGACTTTTGACTACCTGCTAATTAATAGTCTAAGAATATCTGATTGTAGAAGCAAGGCCTAATTTTGAGTCCCTTTGGTAATAAATGTCCTATCTCTTCACTGTAAAATCACTTTTTCCCCCTCCAGGTCTTGGTGGTAATATCAGAATGTTTCTATGTGCCATTTCCAAGGCATTTATCTGAGCATTCTGGTAAGTATGATAAGCTCTGGTGACATAGAGTGTTTTGGGAATTCTGTGATGTGCCCTTTTGTGCACATAGTGGGTTTTTTCTCTGATTTGCTAGGTTGCCAAATTATCACTACCAAATTTCTTAAAATATGTTTTCTAGGTAGATTTAAACAAAAATTATTTTTCTCCTTCTCTTAAATTAGGAAATATTTAATTTTGGTAAATGCTTTTTCTTTTTAAGTGTGTGCTCTTCATTAATCAGTGTCATATTTTCCTTTAACTAGAACTAGAAGTGAAGAAGGGTAATTTAGTATATATTGAGTCTGCTCTCTGCCACTAACTTTCCTAAGTCCTTTAAAAGCAGGCTTCCCAAATCCTTGCACTGCTCCACACTGCTTCTGAGGCCACGGGGTCCTGGATTTGCATGTTTTTATTCCAGACTATTTTTGAGACTGCATAAAGATGTTCACAAGGCTTTGTAATTGTTGAATTTTATGTAGGAGTTTAAGCTCGTGTTTCTTTTTAGTTCTTGAAGTTTTTGAGGTTTTGAGACTTTCATTGATAATTAGAAAATAGTTCCTTGTGGCGTCGGCCCTTCCACCACGGTCGCCATTGGAGAGTAGCAGCCATGGCTCTTCGCTATCCCATGGCCATGGGCCTTAACAAGGGCCACAAGGTAACCAAGAACGTGAGCAAGCCCAGGCACAGCCGCTGCCGCGGGCATCTGACCAAACACACCAAGTTCATGCAGGACATGATCCGGGAGGTGTGTCGCTTTGCCCCGTACGAGTGGCACGCCATGGAGTTACTGAAGGTCTCCAAGGACAAATGGGCCCTCAAGTTCATCAAGAAAAGGGTAGGGACACACATCTGCACCAAGAGGAAGCGGGAGGAGCTGAGCAATGCCCTGGCTGCCATGTGAAAAGCCACTGCCAAGAAAGACTGAGTCCCCTCCCCTGCGCTCTCCCTGAAATTAACAGCTCCACCCAAGCCTTGGCTCTGTTGCTGTCCTGGGGTGGGGGTGGGGTCCTTCAAGCATCTGTTGGTGCCCACTAAGCCATGCCATGAATCAAAGCCCTGGCCGACCCACCCACCCACCCTTCCTGGGACAGTAAGCAAGGAGGCTCCATACCGGAAATTACTTTAATGATTAAATAGTTCCTGTGCCACACTGATTAAAAAATAATAATAATAGAAACCCAATATCAAGCAGTTTAGGGAAAAAAATCTGAATTTATTAGCTCACATAACTGAAAAGCCCAGCGATGTTCTAGCTTCAAGCACAGCCCAAGTGATGTTAGGTTTTTCTTTCTATGTGGCTTATTCATAAGAGAAGTTGACAGTCCGTGCTCGTTTTCTCTGTTTAAAAATCCCTGAAGAAGGAGAGACTTTTCCTCTTGAGTCTGGCCCAGAACTCCTGGGGAGTCCTTTGAGTGGCTCAGCTTTTCACATTTCCGAACCAATCACCATGACCAATAGGGTCACTGAGCCTTCTACAAGACACAAAATACAGAGCGTAAAGGATACTTTGCTCTTGCTGCCCACATGCCCTGCTGAAGTCATTATGGTCCATGAAATCTCTAGAGACAGATGGAGAAGCCCTAAATGAGACTAGGATGCCAACCAGAGAATCTATCCTGTGTGACCATAGCTTCAAGATAGAAAAAACTGTCACGTTCCCTCTGTTTTTATTTCACAGCTAAACATACTCATTTGATTACTAAATTACAGTTGTTTATTCAGAGGATATTCCTCTTTCTTCCCTCCACAGAGCAGAATCAGAGGTCAGAGGAGGCTCATAGGGCTGGACAGTTGCAGGATGCAGAGGACGACAAAGATGATTCAAATGAAGAAGAAAACAAAGACAGCCTTGTAGATGATGAGGAAGAGAAAGAGGACCTTGGCGATGAGGATGAAGCCGAGGAAGAAGAGGAGGAGGACAACCTGGCTGCTGGTGTGGATGAAGACAGAAGTGAGGCCAATGACCAGGGGCCTCCAGGAGAGGACAGTGCGACCCAGGAGGAACTAGAGCCTGAGGAGACTGAAGAAGCCATCTCTGAGCAGCCCTGCCCAGCTGACACAGAGGTGGTGGAAGACTCCTTGAGGCAGCGTAAAAGTCAGCATGCTGATAAGGGACTGTAGATTTAATGATGTGTTTTCAAGAATACAGACCAAAACAATGTCAGCTTCCCTCTGGCCTGCAGTTTGAACCAAATCCTTAATTTCTCCCGAATGAGCAAGCTTCTCTCTTAAAAGATGCTCTCTAGTCATTTGGTCTCATGGCAGTAAGCCTCACTTATACTAAGAAGAGTCAGGTGTGACAATCAGGATATAGAAAAACAAACGTAGTGTTGGGATCTGTTTGGGGGCTGGGATGGGAACAAGTTCATTTACTTGGTGGCGAGAAAGTCTTGACCAGAGGAGGCTACTTCCAGCCCTAAATAGCACCTTCTACAGACAAGGCTGCAGGCCGAGAGAAATAAAGCAAAGCAGGAGCCTTGGATCCTGAGCATCCTCAAAGTGTAGCGTAGAAGCCTTACTTCCTTTTCTTGTGTAAAGGATTTGTTTTTGTCAAATTGCAAGAAACATCAGGCACTACAGTGCATGAACACTCTTTTACAATTAGCAGTTGAGAAGGCCTTCGGTATAGAAAGGAGCTCAGAAGTCATTGCAGCCCTCTGACTCTCCTGTGTCATGTTTTATTTCTTACCTTTAATTTTTCCAACTTTTCCACCATGGGGGTTCAGGCTCTCCACACTCTTCACAATTATCTCTTGGTTAGAGGACACGGATAGCAACCAGGTTTACATGTACTGTGTTGCTTATTCTGACCTATGGGTTTAGGTAATCAGTAACCATAACCCATGAAGCCATGACCACCAAACATCTCAAATGAAATATTGTAGCCATCAGAGATTCAAAGGGAAGTAAGGATTTTACAAGACATTAAAAAAAATTGTTTGGCCAAAATATAATGTTTATATTTTTTTGAGTTTCCTTAACAATATTCTTTTTCAAGCCAGAATCCTCTAAGTCTTGCTAGTACAAGGTGGTCTTGTGAAGAAAAGTTAAATACTGTTTTGTTTTGTTTTCATCTCAAGGGGTTCCCTGGGTCTTGAACTACTTTAATAATAACTAAAAAGCCACTTCTGGTTTTCCTCCAGTGTTGTGCTTTTGGTGAAAGAATTAATGAACTTCAGTATCTGAAAGTGAAAGATTTGATTTCGTTTCCGTCTTCTTTAATCTTCCAAAGAATTATATCTTTGCAAATCTCTCAATACTCAATCTACTGTAAGTACCCAGGGAGCCTAATTTCTTTTAAAAAAATCTGTCCATTTATTTTTCTCTTACCTGATTTTTGTGTTAGAATAAATTCCTGAAATTAGACTCCAAGCATATGAACGATGCCTAAAGTTGATTCTATGCCCCTTGGATCCAGACAGCATAATGAGTACAGGTTTATGAAACTCTGAAAGTTTCTGTTGCATTTAAAAAGGAACATGCGGTATATTTCTCTCTGGCTGTTTAGATAACCCTTTCCTTGTATTAACTGCGAGCACAGGGCTCACTGGTCGGGGAGGTTCTGAAACTCCCTGCCCTCCTGTGGCTGAATGAAGGTGTTGCAGACTTGCACAAAGGAGGTTATTTTTCTGACAGCATCAATTTTTGGAGATGATTACTTTTCATCTTTCCAATTCAATTACTTGACAGTCTCCTTCCCTAGTATGGTAAAGTTTAAGAGTCACCAGTAATTGTGCTTTTCAGACAGTGGTGCAGCTTCAAGATTGAGGCTATCACCCAGCTGATGGGCTTGGAGAAACTTGCAATGTCCTGCCCATTTCCTGCCCCCTTAGTCACTGCCCATTTCCTCCCCCTTTAGTCACTGCCCATTTCCTGCCCCTTTGGTCGCTGACACATCTTCACCCAAAGTGCCATGGTTCTGATGGTGGCAGTTCCATCTCCCTGACACCAGGAATCTTTTCTGGATCAGAGCAGAGCTGGGCCTGCCTGTCCTCCTGTCACTGGATTTCTTTCTCTTATAATAATCAGCTGAAACAGAGTTTCCAAAGAACAGTAAACTCAGGTTCACAGGTATTATGGAATAAGAATGGTTTTATAGTTTGGCTTTTCTATATAATGCCTCCCACTCAAACTGAAATATTCAGTTTTTTTAGTGGAGTATTTGACTAGAGGGGAGGGGAGGGAAGGCAGAAATACAGTCTACCCTGGCTTTTATAAATGTAAAGCTAATTTCCAACCAGACCCCAAATAGTACAGGTTGAACATTCCTGATCCACCAATCCAAAACTCCAAATGCTCCAAAATCTTGAACTTTTTGAGTTCCAACATTATGTCAGAAGTGGAAAATTTTAAACCTGACCTCATTTGACAGGTCGCAGTGCAATCAAAACTTTGTTCCATGCACAAGATTATTAAAAATATTGTATATAATTACCTTCAAGCTATGTTGTATAAGGTCTGTGTAAAACATAATAGGATTTTGTGTTTAGATGTGGGTCTTACTCCCAAGATATCTCTCATACATACAAAAATCCCCAAATCCAGAAAAATTTGAAAGACTTCTGGTCCCACACATTTTGGACAAGGGATATTTGATCTATATCTAATTATATAATAGGACAATTTTTTTTTTTTTTTAGATGGATTTTCGCTCTTGCCGCCCAGGCTGCAATGGCCCAATCTCAGCTTGCTGCAACCTCCTCCTCCCTAGTTCAAGCAATTCTCCTGGCTCAGCCTCCAAAGTAGCTGGGATTACAGGCATGTGCCGCCATGCCTGGCTAATTTTTGTACTTTTAGTAGAGATGGGGTTTTGTCATGTTGGTCAGACTAGTCTTGAACTCCTGACCTCAGGTTATCCTCCTGCCTCGGCCTCCCAAAATGTTTGGATTACAGGTGTGAGCCACTGTGCCCGGCAGAAAATGTATTTTCTTTCTCAGGAATACTTTTAAAAAGACTGAAGGGCGAGGAAAAAAAAACATCCTGGAGAAGAGAACCCTTTAAAACTTCAAATATTTATCTGTGGGAACGATTTTTCCTGATTTTCCCTTTTTTAACATCATGGCAAAGATGGATTTTTTTTTGCCAGATGGCCTGATAAGTACATAACTAATGTATTTCCACTTAAGACTTTAGGTTTGTTTTGAATACTTAATATAAACTAAAGGAGGAAAGTCAACCTAAAATAATTTAAACTTAAAATTATATGAACAATTCAATAAGACATTGTGGATTTTTTCTATAGATAATATATTTGATGCAGAACTTGAGTATATGGAAACATGATTTTGATTTTTAAAATCTAAAAAAAAAAATAAAATCATGCTTCCCTCTATTGCAATATCAGTTATTTAGTCACAGAGCAGGGTATGTTTTCATTGATTAGAAGGAAAGTTTGAAACTTCTGATTACCTTTATGTTGGTTTCTCTTATTATTTATCTCTTGCTAGATCTGCTAAACCAACCCAGCCTGCTCAGCGATCCCATATTAAAGCAACGTATAGGCAATCCACATCTTTCTTTCCCTTTGAAGTATAGCTATTGGATGGGATGAGGGACAGGGCCTGGCACTGCGTGGGCACATGCTTACAAGCTCATCTTGTGCATAGAATCCCTGCCTGTTAATCACGGACCTCTTTATACATTCAACATAACCACTGTCGTAGAAAATAGATAAGCTTCAGCTGGGTTGGCTTTCGATAGTGGAAAAAGCCACAAGTTTACTTTTTATGGCCAAAATTCCTTGTTGACAACTGTGATATTCTGATATGATTTGGAAATATGTATGTGTACAGAACCTGCCTCCTGTAAAAGCACCTTTGAGATAGATGATGAAAGTCATTTTTAAGGCAAATACTTACCATGTGACGTTTTGTTAACAAGTGCATCAGTAGTAGAGCTGGTATGTTGTTTTACAGGATGGAAACATTGAAGAGTCCAGAGAAAAATAAATTTTAAAGAACTTGGAAAACATAAGGTAAACATGAGATTTCAGCATAAAATCTTTGGTATGAAGTGAGAGAGAGAAGAGGGAGGCTGGTGCTCTTGCTCCTAATGATAGGCTGTGTCCTTCTTCTTGGTGTTGGCAGTATTAATTCTGTCAGTATTATAAATGCGTGGTTGACATATCTTGTCAGATGTACCAACATTATCGAAAGTATTCATGTTAGTCTCATATGCCAACAGAAAAGTTCTTCCTTATGTAATATCTCTTTACCTCAGTCCTACGTTTTGATTCTCTGGAGGAGATTTTAGCTTGTCTTCAAAAGCCAAATGTGAAGTCACTAAGCCTGGTGAACCTGATGGGGCAACTTTTTGAACAGCTTTTCTGGAAGGAGGAGCTTCAGTTGAAAGGCTTTTGATCACTTCAGCCCGGGACATGGCCTTCAGATGGCTCATTCTCAGTAAAGCTTTATGTAGACTGTGACACTGTATATGTGTGACTCATAAAACTTTGATGCATTTCTGAAGTAGTTTATTCATATTTGTTATTAGACAGCTTCTTTGTGGAGATGCAACTTTTTTACTAAAAACATTGCTTACTTGTAATGCAATGCATCATAAATAGGTTATGTATATTCTTTGTATTAGTCTTAGCCTAATGAACTTAATTATGTTTCTTTCTGTATTCTCTGCCTCCTCAAGTAGCGTCTGCAGCAATTGGAATGAGAAATCCAGATATGCGTTTCAAGTAGTACGTTGCCTGAATCACAAATCACTTGATCACAATATTGTACATAATTCTTGATCCTATTTGTTGCATTTTATTGTAAATTCCCATTTGCATCAAAACCTAATGATCGTGATTAATAAGTAAAAACAAATGGTGTATTGCTTTTCATACAAGTATTTTCACAAAAGCCATTTACCTAGGCAGCAAAAAATATTAATTTGTTAAAAAAATTTTCCTTTGTGTCCATCCTCCATCTAGTCTGTTCATTCATTCCTTCTCTTTCTCCCTTCCTGACTTGGTGAAACTCAGACCCCGTGCCCTTTAGTTGCTCTGGAAAGTACACAAAACCAAGGCTGGATCCAAAGATCCAAGGCCTCTCCAGCCAGTGTGGTGCCTTTAGAAACCTCTGGGGTCTCCCTCTATCCTGAGGTCTTGGGGTAGCCAGATGGTATGGGATGCTACTCCTCCAAGACACTGGATTGACCTTGTCTTTGGGGCTTTCAGAAAACTCCCTTCTACACCTAACACTCCCTACCACTTTAGTGGAAAGCATCAAGGAGGGAAGGTGGGTCCTTGAAACACCCTCAGAGACTGAAACAATGGAGATTTGATGTTTGTCCTTTGTAAGACGGTGGCGGGGGATGTGTGTAGTAAGAAGACAGTTACTTAACTTGCATGCCACCAAGGTCCTCCCTCAGAGATAGTGGCTCAGAATGCTTATTTGCCTATACAGAGAGAGGACTGTCATGCTGTGTCTGCCTAGAGGACTTGGGTTATTCATCCTTGCCTGCAGCAAAACTTGCAGCTTTCAAGCCAACAACACTGAATTACAAATTTAACCCCCTGCTTTGCTGTAGTCTGGAATGCTCATTGAAACATATTTCATAATAATTGGAATTCTTTCTTAGAGCATTTCGGCTTCTTGAGATTGATAACTGTATTATGATGGTCCATGCTGTGCTAACAGACCCCCAAATTGTATAGCTGATTCACATTGTCCAGGGCAGGTAAGGTGGCTGTGCTCCATGCAGGTTTTTCCGTGGTTTTTCTGGGCCTCAAGGTCAAGGGAGGCTTTGCTGTTTAACATGTGACTGCTAAAGTGGCTGTGATCATTTTCATCCCCATCAGTCAGAAGGAGTAAGAGATAGAGGAACATTGCTGAGAGGTTTTAGCAAGGCTGCAACACATGCGTCACTTAGATTCATATTTCCTGTGAGAGGACTTAGTCGCAGGGTCATACCTAACTGAAAGGAAGACTTGGATGTGTAATCTTGCTGTGTACTTAAGAAAACAGGGAACTTTGAGAGGTAGCTATCTCTTGCCACAGTGACTTTTTCTTGCCCACCTTTGTAAGCTCGGGACCTTTTATAGAGTAAGCTCCTGGGAAATGGTATGAATGCACACATGGCAGGAGAGGACAGAATACATACGGCCCCAGTGCTGGGTGTCTTCCTGCTGGACTTCACCATTGTGGGCCTTCAAGATACCAGAGTTTTCAAACCAAGAATTGTGATTTCATGGAGTTTGTATTTTACTCGGGAAGGTGAATATTAGCAGGAAAAGAGTTACAAGTGGAAAAGTTAACGAATGCTATATGAGTTTATAAAAAGGAAACTGACCTAGGCTGAGGGTGTATATAGTATGTGTGACCAACAGGGCAACATTAGGGGCTGCGGAGGCTAAGGTGGTATGGGACCCCTTGGGTATACACAACCTTTAAGCAGCATGTGTGAAAATAGAGGAGAGCTTTTATCTCAAAGAGAATGTCTACTAAGTCATCATGGTAGATTCTTGCCCTCTTTTTATTTTTATGAGGGAGTGATGGAGGCACAGTTTCTCACTAATCTTTGCATGAACTTTTTCTCATTTGAATATCTTTGATATCCCAATCGGTAGGCTGAGCACAGTGGCTCACGCCTGTAATCCTAGCACTTTGAAAGGCTAAGGTGGTTGGATCACTTGAGCTCAGGAGTTTGAGATGAGCATGAGCAACATGATGTCACACCATCGCTACAAGGGATACAAAAATAAGCCAGGTGTAGTAGTGCATGCCTGTAGTCCCAGCTACTCGAGAAGTTGAGGTGAGAGGATTACCTGAGTCCAGGGAGTTTGAGGCTGCAGTGAGCCATGATCATGTCACTGTACACCAGCCTGAGTGACAGGGCAAGAACCTATGTCAAAAAAAAAAAAAAAAAAAAAGTAGTGACCTAAAAAAGCAGCCCATGACTATTCTTGGGGGTAGAACTGCCTCATTCATAATATGTAAACAAAATGGTGCTTTAGGGCTAAACCGAAGTCAGGGAGGTCTTTGTGTATAATGTACCATAAAGGGTTTTATGACCAGATAATTTTTAAATTGGTGACCTTTAATGGGCTAATCAGGTGACTCTCCAAAGAGAAGTTTCGTTTCTAGCTTTTCCAAAACTTATTTGAAAAGTGCTATTAGGAAATAGATCATTCGAAAATCATCCCACTACAAAAACTAGAAATGCTAGTTAAAATACCTTTTTAATTATAGAACTGAGCTCAAAAGAAGTAAGAAAAATTCACAAGGCCAAAAACCAAGAGGTCAAGAAATATGACCTGGAACTGCCACCAGTGATGGTAGAGTAGCTACTGCCTTAGGTAAGCAGAGAGAGTACATTTTATTGTCCATATAGGTATAGGATACAAACCTTTGACTATAGCAAGTTAGAAAGCTGGAGCTGAAACTTCATAAAATTCCCAGCTCCATCCTTGGTGAAATAAAAAATCTCACTGGCACATAGAAACTTCAAGAAAGCTCTTCTGTCTTGGCCTGGTCTATGTGTTGAAAAATAATAGACTTCCCTAAGAAATCACAATCAATGGTTTGACGTTACACAACTTAGAGTTTGAATTTACAGTAGCTCCATATTCTCAAAAGGACCTACAACAAAACAATTATCATAAAAAGGCTAATGGGGTTTGGCAGGGTGTATACATGGTGGGCGGGAGTGGAGGTGGGGGAGGGTATATATACCAGCAGAAGCAAGCACTGAGCTGCTCTTGAAAACACCCTTTGTCTGGCTTAAAGATTCACATAGACAAAGTCTTGCTTAAGATAAACTCATAATTCAAAATTACAAATCACACAAGGAAACTATTAGCAAGGTGAGACTTGCTGAAATACTTGGGATAAAATTAAATAGAAGCTTTAAATTAAAAAAATTAAACAACTAAAGCAGAGCACAAAGAATTAGGCACTTTTTCCCCTCAAAATAATGTATTTTAGGTTCATCCATCTTGCATGTATCAGCAGTTCAATACTTTTTATTGGTGTGTAGTATAAATATATAATATATTGCTTATACATTCCACTATTGACAGACATATAGAAAGTTTCTAGTTCTTAACTTGTCTTTTGAATATTTTGATTGTAAGACATTCCCTGGAATATTTTACTGATACTCTTTGGGAGAAATGCCAGAATGTTAGAAATATATTCCTCGGGATTTTCCAAGATTTGTTCTTGTAGCACCAAAAGGCAACATATAATACTCTAGCAAGGAGCAGATGTTTGAGAACATAAACACTAGAACAAGCCTTCCGGGAGTTGAACCCCAGGTCTGCCACTTGCCAGTGGTGTGAACTTCAGTAAGTTATCCAACTTCTCTGTGCCTCATATTTACAATGGGGATAATAAAAGACTTCAACATCCATTAATGAAGGTCTAGACAATTTTAACCACCCCTCCCAATGAAGACAGCTAGGAAAGCTACTTTAAAAATGTATGCATTGCTACACATGTCTAATATATATAATATTAAATATACACATATTGGTCGAAGGCATCAAAGTTTACAAGATGATGAAGGATATCAGGACAAGATCTAGGAGAAATTAAAAGGTCAGGAATGTGATCCTGGTGTTTGGGACTGGTTTCTCCTGAAGGCATTTATTGTTTCTGGAGAGGGGTAAGGGATGTGTTGAGAGGCTAAGTGATGGTTATGAGAGCTTTGTCTGGTGAGGGTACAGGGATTGGCTAAGGATGGGAAGGCCTGTGAAGGATTCACATTAGGAATAAGGATGAACCAGAAGTCAGCAGACCCCACAGACACTGGGACTCAGCCTTGGTCTATTTAGCTTCTGAAATCAGGATGGTTTAATCCTGAAAGTGTAAATCCTGAAAGTGGGAAAGTTAACTGGTAGGGGTTGAGTTCTTAGGTTGGATGGTGGGTTTTCTGCTATGAGATAGAAAGCCATGATTTTAAGAAATCTTGAGGTTCATAAAGCTTTATCATTGTGGACCATCACATTCAAAGGACTATAATCTAGCTATCAAAAGTGAAAAGTGACTCCTTATTTTTCTTTCATTCTCTGCCTCTTTTAGTCCCCAGAGCTGTCCCTCTGTGACACCTCTTCTCTTTTTGTCTTTATGCCTGAAAATTCTCTAGGGTATTTCCAAAGTGCAAACATGAGTGGTTCTCTTTTCCTAACCACTCCGCTATGACCTACTACTTCTCCATCTTTACTCCTGAGAGAAAGCTCCTCTCTCCACAGTTCCCTCCTAAAACAGATATCCCATCTCTGCTTATAAGATTCTTCTTACTGGATAATTAAGCCATGGAGCTCCAGGAAAGTAATGAATACCAAAATGGCATTGCCAGAATTTTTTCTTGATTGGGAAGGAGGTGGATGGGAGGCCATGAATTTCCATGTGTCAAAAGGAATTGTGCCTATGTGCCTATTACACTTTACATCTGCTGCCCCCCAACTTCTCTAGTGTATACTGGGTAGATTTAAAAATTCCCATCAGGCAATTCTCAAAGAAGGAACTGTCAGACTTAGCTGTCTCCACCAAAATTCATCACTGTCTGCAAACATTGGAGGTAGAGAATGGGAGAACTCTCTGATGGCCAAAATACTACATTTAGGAATTAAACACGCTATTCTCCCCCTCCCCCCATTCCCCATGTGGAGACTCTCTAGTCCTCTCCTCCAGTCCCCATTCGGTATTAAATACCCTCTGGTAGAAACTACCACTAGATGCTCCTCTTCTCCATGATAGAAGCCAACACTGATCATGTCTAGTCCTCCAAGTTTGGCCAGGCAGACCAGGGTGATCCTCATGTGGACTCATGCATGTTGAGTTATTCAAATCTCCCATCACAAGAAACCTGCTTGCCCTGGAGGGAAATTGGTGCCCAGTCTC